CCCCCCCCCGCCGCCCGCGCGCCTCCCGCCCGCCGCTCCACGGCTCCGCCGCCGGCGCGCTCCGGAGCCAGCGCGCCTCTTTGGGCGGCCCCGCCCCGGGAGGGGGACACAGCGCCGCGCCCTGTGCCCAATCAGCGGGCGGCCCCCGGCCCGGCTGCAGCCCTCGGCCAGCCCCGGCCCCTGGGGAAGGGAGGTCTGCGCTGCCTCCCCCGATAGCACAGACCAGCTTGGCAAGTGCCTGGGGGGTGTCGGCAAACAGGGGAGGGGGGCTTGGGGTAAAGCCGGTATCTTTTATTAGAACAACACAACTAGTTGGACACTTCTTTGCAAGCTTGCAGGTAGATATACCCTTGGTCAGGCTGAAGAGGCATCATTCATATATATCCATATATGACAACTTATACATTCAGCTGATTTATATAGTATATATTTATATTACAGATATGATATATATTATAGTTTACACATTCAGCTGATTTATATATTATATCTTTATATTACAGCTGATTTATATATTATATATATTCAACTCAATTAGATATTATATACATAGATATTATATATATTATATATTATAGTTTAGACATTCAGCTGATTTATGTATTATAGATATACATTATACAATATGTATATAATATATATAATATATATTATATGTTATAGTTTATACCAGGGGTTATCAGCTGGGGGTATACATACCCCCAGGGGCACTTGAGAAAGCCCTAGGGGGTACGTGGAGCAGGTGGGGATGGAGCAATGCCACGCACCATCCTGCACCGCCATGCAAGGGCCGCCCACCCAGCCAGATGTGGGGGAAGCTTACATGTGGTGGCTGCCACGGCTCTGTGTTTGGCCGCGCACCTTCCCTGTCGCTCTGCATCCAGCTGCTGGGGTACACTGATTCAAAAAGGTTGAAAACCCCTGGTTTATAGATTCAGCTGATTTATATATTATAGATATTATATATGTTATACATTATATATTACAGTTTATAGGTTCAGCTAATTTATATATTGTAGTTTATACATTCATTTATTTTTTATGTATTCATTCATTTATATATTCATTTATTCATGAGGCATCATTCATATACATTTATATAGTCTAGTTTATACTTTTAGCTGATTTATATATTATAGTTTATACATTCAGCTGATTTAAAAAAGCAACTGCTAGGCCATACAGGAGTAATGCATTTTGAATTCTAGCTCATAAAGTAGAAATAACAACCTCAACCCAACAAGGAGTTTGTCCCAGATTGAATCCAAAAGCACTCCACCCTGCCCTGGCCTGGCTGGGTTCTTGCAGCAGCAGGATGGCTGTGGTGTGGTCCATAGTCAGGAGAAACCTGAATTAAACTAAGAGCTGCAGGGCTGTTGGTTGTAGCCATGTTGGTCTTGGGACATAGGCAGGCAAGGCTCTTTGGGTAAATTTTATTAGACCAACTAAATAGTTGGCAAAAAGTTCTTTGCAAGCTTTCAGGCACAGACACCCTTCTTCTGGCATTGGGAGTCTCTGCATTGGGAAACTGAAGAGCTGGCATTGTCTGAGGGTGGCCTGAAGTCTGCTGGAGGGTTCCCTGAGTCTGAAAAAGGCAGCCCCAGACAGGCCAGGGGTTAAGGAAAGGTCTTGGGTCTCTCCGCCTAAACACCCAGAGCCCTACAAGTCAACCACAACCAATCCCAACTGTGCAACTGGTCCCATAAAAGATATGACTTGATAAAACTTGTTACAACACCTGGACTCCAGTCACCAGGGCTGTTGACTGTTGTTACACACAAGTCATTTCTCAGGCATGACTTACAAGTGACATTTAGTTAGGGCTGCAGGGCGGAGCAAGAACCACAGTATAGTCATTTAATAATGTTCCCCTGGAGCGATGCTCTTGCATGTTGCTGTTAAACAGAGGGGACCCTGAAGAGGACACCAGGGTTTGGGAATGATTCTGTTCAGAGAGAGCCATCTGTTCACATGGTAAGACCTGGTTTTACTCATCTGATAAATGCTAGCCTGTCAGGCTGAGCTCAACAATGCTGAGTGTCTGTCTCAAGCTGAAACTTTTGGGAACATTTCAGTGAACATGGTTCCAAAGATGAGAAATAATGCATTGTTCTCCTTTCACAGACAATTCTGACCATTTTGTTGAGAAGCTCTGTTGGCTCTAGGCTCTGAGCGGACACTTGGAATTTGGCTAGAAAGATCACCCTGGTGTCAGAGATATATCTTTTCCTGTTCCTTTGAGAGTCCATAAAAATTCAGCCATGTTATAAATCTTTGAAAAATCTTGACTCGCGTATAATTAGTTATAAGTTAGTAGCTAAAGACACTGAAGATTGCATGTGCACTGAGCATCCTCTAAGAGGTGAGCAAGTGTTCCCAGCATCTGCAGACCATGGTGGCTTCAGACCAGAAGTGAGAACTTGGAAGCCTGGGGACTTGGCAAAATTAATTCTCTGTCAACTTAATTGTTGCATTTCCTAACTTATTGAGCAATTTGATATTTCTTTTGAATATGTGTGCATGCAATTATTATTTATACATCTAAGTCAGTGGTTCTTAACCTTTTTAGGCACCCCTCATTAGACTCAAAGCACCCTTTTGGAAAATACTGTTTTTCAGACTATGGAATAATAATAATTAAATAAAAACTGCTTCTGTTGCAAAAAACTCAGAAAGACCACAGCAGGTCAGAATGTTTTTGACACTATGAATTTCTATTTGAAATCTCTGGGTTTATCTTGTCAATCATGTGTAATTATTTGCATATTTGACAGGGCTAATGAAGTGCCATGGCACCCTGGTTAAAAACCACTGATCTAGTTGCCCAAGACATTCTACAAGAAAATGTCAGTGACCTGCTCCAAGGACCTTACTGTTAGAATTAGACTTTACAAAGTGAGAAATTACAATAACTATGAAAGACAGATTATGGACCCAGATATATTTCCATGAAACTGTTATTATTTTGTTGGGATGCACTGCATTTCAAAAGGGCACATTTGGTAAAATGTGTATCCTTCTTTATATTCTTCTGTCAGATTTTTACTCCTTAATTCTCTTCCAATGCTATAATATTGTGCTTCCAGTGGGCATGTGAAGCAAAACTAGTATATTTTTTTCAGGAATGAAGTCGAAATATTTTTGCAAAATAACTTTCTTTGCAAAAGGAGTCTCCTCCCCCTCAGTTAACACTAGTGAAGTGATTTTTGTTTAAATGGAAAATAAATGCATTGATTCCCTACTTCTTCATACAATTTCTTTACAACTATGCATGCATGTCCCAGGAACACAAGGCTTATCAAATCAAGGGAAATTCTTTCTAAAGATTCCTTGTTAAACTGCTACCCCATGCAATGTTGCCTAGACTTGCCATGGGCCTTTCTGAAAGCACCTCTGTACATCTCCAGATATACTTTTATCGTTTAAAATACTTGTGGCAATTTACCATAACAAAGACAGTTCTTTCCTTTAGCAGTCATGAAAGTACACTGATTTTACGAGGTAGTACCTGCTATTTTACTTCCTGCACAACGTCCTCCTGCAATTCTGAGTGGCATTCTTACCCAGCTTATTCATTTTAAATAAAAAAGTAAATGGTTTCTTTCAGTCTTTGCATCTTTTTTAATGTCTTTTTAGAACTGAACAAAGTTGGCTAATACTATTTAGGAAGCAGCAGGTAACATAAGGACACATTTCTTTTCCTTAAGAAACTATGTCCTGGTAATTTTACAGATAGCATATGCATTCCTATTTGGGAAATTTATTTTTAGATGAATACAAACTCTGAAACTTCCTCCTTTTTTTTTCAGTTGTTAGGGCATTCTTCACTTCCCATCCAGAATCAGTTGCTCAAAAACCTTTGTCATGTTGTTGTGTTTCACTCCATGGTAAGTAAAATGATTCCTGTATGTACAATGGTCAATAAAGATTATAAGCCATATTGGTGTCTTTTTGGGTAAAAGTTACCATGCAGATATTTGATCCTTTATTGACTCATTCATTCATTTAACATGCTTTTTATAGCTGGTGTTAAACACAAGTAGTGTTAAAAAATGGATGGTAAACTTGTGTTTAAACAGCATTGTACTTCTAGACATACTAGCTAATTGCCCATCAGGAATGACAGTGGGGGTGGAGGGACAGGCGGGGAAGGACTGCTGCCCCGCCACCACCGCTTTGAAGCTGGACTGCTCCACCCCTCCCCACCCACTGCTTCGGGACTGGGCCCACTCCCCACACCCCACTTCGGAATGATGGCGGGGGTTGGTGGGGGTGGGCACCACCCCCCAGCATCCTGTGCTGCCGCTGCCTCCCAAGAGCGGGGGGAAAAGCTTGCCCCCCTGTCCCCTCCATCCCCTTTGGCCAGCACCCCATCACCGCTGCCTGCAGGGAGAAAGGCCAGGGTGCGAAGCCAGCTGCTCCATCCCCACGGTCATGGCAGCACTCCACCATGCCACCGCTGCCTGTCTGGAACACTCTTGGAGCACTCTGATTGGTTGTTTCAGACAACCAATCAGAGTGTGCAAATAAAGTGGTATGGACAGACAGGCAGACTAAGGCTTTTATAATTTTACAATTTCTATATTTTTTACCTCCCACTTACGTTGAAAAATAGTTTGCTTTTTGGGAAAATGAGTTTACTCCTAGATTCCTCAGTACTGAAAAAATCTATATCATTCTGAGTAATAGAGTAAACACTTCCTGTGCAAATTCCCAATGTCATCTTATAGGTTTCTAACTATATCTTTTAACTTTGGATGAAGAAATTATACATATGTCATTCATAATTTAACTTGTCAGTTTATTCGCCAATCAAGAATAACTGAACACTAGAGATCACTATAAGATTTCACATAATAAATATAGGCAGACAAGGTTCTTTGGGTAAGTCTGATATCTTTTATTAGACCTACTAAAATAGTTGGAACAATTCTTCTTTGCAATGTTTCAGGTACAAATTACCATTGTCAGGCTGAGGAAGTGTCTGCAGAGCCTTTGCTCTTCCTGGCTGGAATAGAATAGAAGCCAGAGACCAGAATACATGTGAGAATGCCAGTGAGTGAAAATACAAATTGAGGCAGTCAATGGGTAAGAAACAGGTGGAGGGGGTTGGAAAGGGGAATGTAGATCTGGTGTTAAGAATATAGCTGGTAAATACTACAGAGGTACCTGGGTCAGATGTCAGATGTCAGGCAGGTTATAATGTGCCATAAATCCAATGTCTATATTTAGTCCATGATTTTTTGTATCCGGTAGGTTGATGAAGTGAAGTTCATAGGATCATCTGTGAAAGGTGTTTCTTAAATTCACTGTGAGGATTAGAACTGAGAGCTTGGACAGAGAGTGATTTTCTTGTGAGAAATGTGCCCCCACGGGTAATTGGGTATTCTTGTCCTTGGTAGATTTTTGGTGTGCGTTCATTCTGGTATGCAATTGTTGTTTGGTTTCTCCTACATGTTCTTCATTAGGGCATTTAGTGCACTGGATGAGATATTACATTTCTGGAGGTGCAGGTGTAAGATCCAGGAAAGTTGACAATTCTGTTGTGAGGTGTAGTTATTGTGGGGATGGTGGAGATATGTTGGTAGGTTTTACACGTCTTGTCCTGGCATGGTCTGGATCCTTTTAGTGTATTTTGGGCCATAGGTAGTTTGCTTGTGGTGATGAGGCTGGTGAGGTTCAGTGCTTGTTAAATGCTATCTTCCCAGAACCACCTACCACCTGTTTCTCACCCATTGACTGCCTCAATTTGCATTTTTACTGACCGGCATTCTCATATGCATACTGGCCTCTGGCTTCTATTCTATTCCATCTAGGAAGAGCACAGGCCAACTGCAGACACTTCCTCAGATGTCACAGGGGGTTGTTCCCAAAAGCTTGCAAAGAAGAATTTTTTCCAACTATTTTAGTTGGTCTAATAAAAGATATATCAGATTTACCCAAAAAGCCTTATCTACCTATGTCCTTAGACCAACTGAGCTACAACCTATAGCCCTGGAACATAATAAATATTGCATATCCCAACTAGTATCTCAGTTCTTCTCACTTAAATACAATTTCATAACTACCTTTGACCTATTTCATTTTCTCTTTGGGATGGAAACTCTGTATTTGTATCTTGCCTAAAAGAATGCAGCTCCCATCTTTCTTCAGGACTTTGGATGCATTCATAGTACAAATAAATAAGATTTGACTTCCTGAATACATAATCTCTCAATTTCCTATTATGACATTCACTTATGAAAACATCCTTGAACAATGTCACAAAACAACTTTTCTTTTGGATGTTGTTATACAAACATCTGGATCCACTCTACATTTTGTGGGAAAATATGAGACGCTAAATAGATTCTAGTCCAAAAAAATCTTTCAATGTCAAAAGAAAATGAAACACAGGACTTAATCTTTTTCATTCAGAAAATCAGAATGTTATTTGAAATAATATTAAACTGTCCTCAATTTTGCAATCACCCTGATTTATAGAATTAAAAATGTTAGTCTTACTCCCATTAAAATCAATGTAAGATGCTCATAGACATTATGAAAAGGCTGATATTTCATATTCTCAATATTTGCTTTTGGACCAGAACATTTTAGCACTTAGATGTGAATTCTGATACATTGGTTTAGATTGGGTTAATGTCAATGGAACTTCTTGAGGAATAAAATGCTACTCAATTGGCATGTCTACACAAGACGCTTAATGTGCAGTAGACCAATTATACTGTGCATTAGTGTGTCACAGCAAACGCCGTGCTAATACACTGCCAAATTATTCTACTGTGCATTAACATCACAAAAAGACTGTGCACCTTTTCTATGGTGCAGTGACACCGGCTACTGGCCATTTAGTTAGTACCTTATATTAGAGGTACTAAATTTAATGTGCAGTAGCAACAGCACATTAATGCACATGTAAATACACCCACTGGAAGCAAAAGTATTAAAATCAACAAAATATTCCATTAAAAAAAGGATAGTGAATGTTGGAAATGCCTGAATGTACTAGCTACTCTGACAGATATTATAGGACTGCAAGGAATGAATTAGTTTTTGCTTTGAAACTGAAGAGAGAAAGCATGAGGAGACTTCAAGCACAGTGTATCGTTAGGTTTAACAAATACTGAGGAACTATCATTTGAACAAAGTTAGCTAGTCTAACTTCATATTTGAGTCAGAATAGTATTTATTAAATACTAGAAATCCAATGTAGTGTCCATAGTGTAGAAAAACGATGATAAAATGTAAAAATACAAGAGTCCCTAATGAGAAAACCCTTCCTCCCATGAGTAGATACTATAGATGCAATAAGTTCTATTTTCTTCTGTAGGACAATTGATAGCAGTGAGACCTGTATGGATGAGTATGAGTTTGTACCAGCATTGGATCCACAGGGAACTTCCCTTTTCTTTCCTGCTAAAGTTTCTCATTTTTCTTTCCTCATTTCTCTTTTCCTTAGCATGGATTCAAAATATCCTCAACACCCACCCTTTCCTTGAAGTAACAATATTAGCTGATGCCTTTTTGTAGTATCACAGCCTCTTAGAGCCTCATTTCTTGTCTACTACTATGCAAGACATGCACTGAGTAGAGCATAGGTGTGGAAGAGCAAGGAGAGAGTAGGCAAAGGAACATTTTGCCTGCAGCCCCAACAGAACACCTCCTGCAATCTGGCAGTGGGGGATAGCCACCTGGGTCCACTATTTGAAGCCTGATGCATCACCATGGATCCCCATTTGAACAGTAATAGATGTTGTGTATGTGTGAAATGTGGAACTCTAAACAACTACACACGCTCTAATCTAGACTTGACTATTGGGGAGCATCACCAGTCAATTTACTGTGTGTTTGTTGTTTTTGTTTTTTGTTTTTTTTGCAAATTAGGCATAATTCTTTGATTTGTCTTAATGTATGCTGAGAGATCTTGGCATCTATTACACTTATTCTAGAAAATTCTAAAGTAATTTTTAAAAAGGCACACATCCCTGCAAGAATACGTATTTTCAGGCATGAACATTTGCCATTTTCCCTTTATTCTACAATTGCTTTTAATTACAAAGAACTCATGTTGGCAGCATGTATTGTCCTGTAATGAGTCTGACATTCCTTTTGTTGTGTAGACCTTTCCATTGTACTACCTGAGTACTCTCCTCAGCATATTCTGTATATGAAATCATACAAAGTAACCATTATGGTATTTATTAGATGTCATACAGTCTCTATTTTGAAGCATTAGATATGATACTAAGAAGACAAAAAGAAAAGATTCTGAAATGAGGTTAATGCAGTGACAGGAGCCAGGCTAAAGAAGAGAGAAAGGAAGCGAGTTCTGAAAAAGTGGAACTAGGAGAAGAAATATGAGACAGTAAAAATGGCACCACAAGAATGAATTATGGTTAAAAACAGTGTCAGAGAAGAAGAATAAAGAGTGTGAACAATAAGGGAGGAAATAATTCTGTCACTTCAGAAGTTTTCTCATTTCACCTCTGAGGCCTTATGTATACATTGGCTTTTGGGGTGAATCTTTCATTGTAGCTTTGCCAATAATGTGTCTCAACCCTCTACCAAATATGAATGGTCAATGACAAGAAATGTCTGTGCTCTTGTTCTCCCCAGTTTGCTAGTATCTGTGGCTGCCCCTATGGAAATGCAACTGAGAGAAGTTCTATTAAAATGAGAGCAGAAGTAATCTGAATGGTCACAAGGTTATTGGCCAGTTGCTTGTCTGTCCAGAGGAATTCTACAGTTCTGTTTTCTTATATACCTCTTCAATATATAGATGAGGCTGCTAAAGGAGCTAGTGAATTCATTTGAACTGTGGCATAATCAGTATGCAGATGGCATATGCCACTGTCTCATTTTCATCAGACAGATATTATTTCTAATTTCCTTGACTGCCCTTGGATTATGATAGTAGAATACTTTGTAGAATGTAAACAGGTTTTGCAGTTACTTTCAAAACAGCAGTGTAGTCAGAGCTGCCATTTATACCCAGGCAAGACAGAGAGAAGAAAGGGGACAGAGTGCCAGTTTTTTTTTAAGAGTAGAAACTACTGTACATTTCAACTCTTCTCTTTTTCTCTACATGGAAGATTCCAAAGAGAAAAAAATTCTTCACAAAACTCTTTATGTTTTCAAAATATGTACAATGGTGATAAACCATAAGCTATTAATCAGGTTTAAGCAAAAAAAATGTTGGCCACATCAGATTGTCCAGGATACTGGGTGCATCTACACAAGATGCAAAGGCACAGTATCAATGAGCTACTGCATGGTAGCTTGTTGCTACCATGCAGTAGTGTTGCCGGGCACTAATCATGTGAGGACAATACTGCGCAGTAGTAACAAGCTACTGCGCAGTATTTTGTTGGTACTGTGCAGTAGCATAGGGCAAAAACCATGCAGTGACCGTACTGCATAGTAATGCAGGTTGGTTACTCTACAGTCTGCACAGTACTGCTTATGCAAGTACTAAATAACTGAGCAGTAACCACTGCACAGTCCTCGGCACATGTAGACATGGCTACTGATGCACAGGACAGAACCAGCATGAGAAACCTATACTTTCTTGCAATAGTAACCTCTTTACAAAGACCCAAGGAGAGGGAGTGGGGGGAGAGAAAAAAACAAAGCAACCTAATAAATAATAGCACCATAAGAAAGACTTAAAGGAAAAGGAGAAAAGTAAGAAAGATCAGGACTAGAAGGTGAAACAGAATTCTCAGTAGTTAGTTGCCAGGAACTTCAGCTGTCCATTTTTGTGTCATTACAAAGGGCAGTCTATTGTTTGATAGTACAGGGATGACATTCCTGATGACTTCCATACATCCCAACCACTCCAATTAAAAAGATAAGAGTAATCACCCTTGAAACTGTTAACTGTGGCTCTTAAATATCTGCTTTGTTCATGCTGAAGGGTTACAATTAACAGAGGTATGTCACTGCCTCAAATTGAGTAGATATGTGGGTGAACTACGGAAATAAAGTGTCAACAAGTTTCTGAAGTTTCTTTTGATGCTGTTAACCTAAAAATGTAATGCCTCCTATTTTGTTCTGATGATATCACAGCTGTAGATAAATGGTTTTTGCCAGTCCCTACTTTTGAGCACAGTTCATTAGTGATATGGTCATCTGAATGAGTCCATTCACCTGTCTAGTGTTGTTGGGTGTCACGGGTGTGACAGGGCAATTACTGCATGGCTTGTTGGTTGAAGCCTGAAGGTTGGTTTCTTCCTTCTTAGTGCTTTTCACACCGTTCTTCACTTAAGTGCCTGATGGTACTGACATCAACAACCAAGTCCCCATACACTTTCTTTAGATGTGCTTGAATATCAATAAGCCTTCTGCAGTAAGGAACTGAACTACCCCTCTCTGTTTTGTAGGCATGTCATGTTCATCAGGCATTTTATGCAACTGCTGCTGTGCTGCAATATGTTGTATCTCAATTGAACCTCAAGAACTGGAGTAACAGGTACAAGTGCTTGGACTAAAATTTTCTTACTGCTGTTGGTGGCTTACTTAGAAGACAAAATTTAGGAGGTATTACTTTCTGGCTGACCCTACCATGTGGGTTAACTGGACTCTGGTTTCCCAGAAACCATCCTAGGGTGGCAGCTCATCAGGGTAAACATATCCCAAGTAGGTGGGATGTCAGTTTGTTATATTTCCTTATGTCATGTTCAAATCATACAGCTCACACTGGAGGTCAGCACACAGCATAAACCAAAAACACATACATGTTCATATTTGCCAATTTATATTTCTCACCAGTACACTAAAAGGTAAGAATGTTGTCCCTAGACTCACAGAATTAGACTATAACAGAACCGTAGGCTCTACTGAGACATCTGCTTTTCAAGATTTAGTTTACAAAATATTCAGAAGCAGCCATAGAGAGCTGGGAGCCGCTCCAAATATATCTCTACTATTTAGCACAGGCCTGCCTAACTTCTTAGTGGCTGGTGGCTGCACACCATAGGGCTGCACCAGCAGGGGCCATGGGCCCCTCTCACTTCCCTGGCTGCAAGCTCCCCTGGCCTTTTGTGGGTGAGCAGCTGCTCTCTTTTCCTCTCCATCCCCCATCCCACCATCACTGCAGAGAAGGGAAGGGGAGCCTGAAAACCCTGGTTGCAGCATCAGCCAGAGCAATGAGGGAAGCCACAGTTAGGGAGAGTTTGGGGGGCCACAGATTAACCCATCATGGACCGTATGTGGCCCAGAGGCCACCAGTTGGACAGTCCTGATTTAAGGATTGATTCAGTCCAGTGGATGCTGTTCATACTTTTCTGTTTAGATGTTTGGGTGACTAGAGGGATTGGTTGTCACTTAGTTAGCTGTTCTTTCCATTGAAGAAAGCTGACATCATAGGCAGCATTATCAGAGTGTGCGAATGGCCCTGAATATTATGTATTTTTCAGTTGGGTTAGGTAGGTTAGCCCCATAGGTATGGTATCATAAAATGCTTTTGTAAAATGAATAGTGTTTTTGATTAACTGTCTTACAGTTTAGTTTAACCTTCTATATGTCACAACCCAAAAGGTGTGATTTTTATTTGTGTGCGCTTCGGCACTGCTAAATTGTCCCCGCTAAATTGCAGCTTCCTTGCACAGTGGAGTTTTCTGCTGCAGAGGAGAACCCCGGTGCAAGGGAGAATTTCCCGCCAATTTGGAGCTTGTTTTGCAGGGTGCATTTCTTTGCTGCAGAGAGGGGATGCTCGTTGCAAAGAGTTCCCGCCATTGGTATGCTAATTCGAGTCCCATTATTGGCCAGTTCTAAATTATTCACACGTGGCGGCTAGTGATTGGCTTGCTAGCCGTATAAGAGGCTTGAGTGGTTTCCGCCCAAGTTGGAGGACTCCACGAACAAGGGAGGAGGAGACTTCACGCTCTGTGAAGATCTCTAAGCGCTGCGGATCCTCACGGACCCAGTGCATTTGAAGCAGGCAACGGAGATCTGATCAATCTCTAGCCTCTCCCCGTCGCCGATAGAATTCCTAGACGTATCCCTCCCGCGCGCAAAAGAACTGGACCCACGGAGCCTAGCAAACTTCGTGTGGATGAGTGAACAACTTAATCAAGCTTTCCAGCCTACACCATTGCCATCTCGGTGTAAGTAAACAATCTTTTAAACTACCGATATGCATCCGTGCCTAATTCCAGAGCGAAGGCCTTCCCTCTCCGCCCCCGCGTGCCCGGGCTGCTGGCCACAGCCCGCGTGCAGCGCGAAAAAGGGCTCGGGGTGCTCCCGGCCCACACACTATATTGTAAAATAAATAAATAAATAAACCACAGTGAAGTTGCTTCTATGATTTTATGATTCTAGTCTACTCTGGTCTCTTTAAATTTGGTTTCTTAGTTCACAGACTTATTAATAAGCTTTTCCAGCATATAGCAAATATGGGACTAGTGTTTCAGAATGCAGGAGAAGCATTCTAAAAAAATATTTTACTTGTTCCATTTGTGAGAAGAGTGTTTTCAGTAAGCACTGCAATTGTTTTATTCTGTAAACTGTATACTGGAACTGTTGATGTTTTGAACCAGGAAT